CTTATCCTGAAGCGAGCGGTCCTTGGCAACAATCTCCGCTCCCCGACCGTTAGAGGAACAAGCTCTTGCTCATCTGTTGACAGGGCGGGACGCCCTCCTTGGATAACAAGGGAAACAGATGGATGGATGTTTATTGAATTTTTTTGTTCTTGTTAAGATAATAAATTGAGATACATGAATAAAATGTACAGATGAAATGAAACAGTTGCTTTGCCAAATATTTAATGCATGTTTATGTTGTCTTTATAATAGAGCCGGCCTAACAGGGCATAAATTATTCATTAAACATTTCACAGATTAAATGGAACGTGTGAAGTGATGAACATCTTGTGAGGTTAAATCAGCTTCCAGTGTCTTCTGAAATCACTAAAAACAGGAGTTCAGGAGGGCTGTACAGTAATCTCAAATGTTTGGACTAAAAACAACAGTAGTCACTAAAAAGACGAGATGGAACTTTATTGATCCTGCAGGAAGTTGTTGAAACGCTGTGCATCTCCACAAACTGAGAGGAGGAAGAGCATTCAAGTGAGTCTAACTCAGCATGCATCAGGATATCCTGTCTAACTTTGAACCACGGGCGTCAGAAACATCTGGAATGGGGGGGCACTACAGTGTGTATGTGTGCGCGCGCCAGTGTGCCAAAAGTGTACACAACATTTCATCTAGGTTTCCTTACTTTAATTCAATTTAAAGCATGTTTCTCACCACGTTTGAGTAAATTCAGCTGTTTTAAAGACATTTCAACTTTAATGCACTTCAGGTCGACACTCTTTGTGTTTAGTGAAATTAAAAACATCACCACTGGACTTTTTTACTTGTGTTCAACACGACTCATCTAAATGATGTTTCTCATGAAGCTTGAGGACAATAAGGTGTGGGGGTTTAAAGACATTTCAACTTTAATGCACCTGAACATACAGAGTCTCTTACACCTGCAGCGTCACAGTTACCGCTAAGCTAACATGCTACAGACGTAGCGCTCCACTTCTCTCCTCCTAACCATGAATAGATGTTTATGATCAACAACTGCCCGCACTAAGCTCGCTAAGCTGGGGAGCGATCAACACAGAGGTGTCTCCACCTGTGAGTGATCTCTGCCGAGGCAGGAGACGCAGAGGAGAAACACTCAGCAGGACGGTGCAGAGTTGGAGGGAACCAGGAAAACCTGGAGTGGAGTTTTAGTGGTTTGAGTGTTCTCCTATTGATCAAGTGGAATGGATTCGTTCACGAAGAAAGAGAAACTGCACCGACTGAACTAATGTTTTATAGTAAAAATGTGTGTGTGTGTGTGGGGGGGGGGGGGCCCAAAATGAATTTTTTTTTTATGTGGGGGGACACGTCCCCTTCACATATAATGGTTGTGACGCCTATGCTCTGAACGCTAGAAGTTTAGAACGTTTAGAAAGGTTGCCAATATTAAGAGGCTAGTGTTTAAACATTACTGAACATGACTATGTCAAAGGTAACCAACTCTGAAATGGGATTGTTGTTTAATAATCTGGCATGCTGTTCAGCAGGCAATAATCTGTCCCTGTTGCAGGGAAGGTCTTTGAAAGAATTCACTAAACTCAATCAAGTAAAATTAGCCTTTCAGTCTGAAACCTGCTGGCCCTGAACGCAGCACACCCACAACAATCAGTCACTCCAAGAGGACAGAACGCGGACACACTCCTTCAGGGTGGAGGCGTTTACTGTAACGCTCCACCCCAGAGACACCCCTAACTCAGCTTTTAAAGACATTACAGAAAAATAAAACATGTTTAACCCTTTATTTACAGTAGTCGATAACAGTTTCAATAAAAAGGATTCTTCAGACAAAAATGCTGTAGTTTTAGATTTGGTTTTAAACTTTTTTGCTTCCTTGTGTTTAACTTTGAGCCGTTAACACATCTGGTAATTTGACAATATGCAATGTGACAAGACAAGGACACTCTTATAGCAAGATCAAAAGAGGAATTAGAAATGATGGCAAGACTTGTAACGAAGCACAGCCTCAAGTTTGGATTGAAACTTAATACTGTGAAAACAAAGGTTGTGACAGTGAACGAAGGGCCGGTGATGATAGAGGAGGAACCCACTGAAGATGTCTGGAAGCTCAAGTATCTTCACTCTATGATCGCCCCTGACAACATCGCCCAAAATGAGACCAGCATCAGACTAGCCCTTGCAAGAGGAGCTACTTCTGATCTCAACAACAGCCATTAAAGATCAAGTTGTTGTTGCTTATGAATGTGAGAGATGGACAATTAGGAAAGAGGATGAAAGAAAGATAAACACTCTGGATACGTGACAGAGGAGAATCCTTCAGGTGACCTGAATGCAACGCAAAACAACTGAACGGATACAACAAGTGACATTTTCAGTCAAAACAGAAAGTATTAGAGTGAGGAAGGAAAAAAGGCTAATTTGAAATATACGTTTTTGGGTTCGTGTGAGCATCCGATTCCAGACGAGTCAGCGCCTCACCTGTCCAAACCTCACCACACGTCACTGCATCAGACTATGGAGGCGCCTGACCGGACTGGAATGTGAATTCCATTCATCCATCCATTATCTTTACCGCTTCTTCCTTTTTGGGTCATGAGGCACGGAGAGAACATGCAAACTCCACCCAGAAAGGCCCCTCGACCGGGATTTGAACCAGGGCAACCTGCTCGCTGAGAGGCAGCAGCTCTACTAACTGCACCACCGTGCCGCCCTCAATTCAATTCAGTTTATTTCTATAGCGACAGGTCACAACAGAAGTCATCTTAGGGCACTGAACAGAAACATTCACATATATCCATCCATCCATTTTCTTTACCCGCTTATTCCATTTTGGGTCACGGGGGTCACCGGTGCCCATGTCCAGCAATCACTGTGCGAGGGGCGGGGTACACCCTGGACGGGTTGCAAGTCCATCACAGGGACACATAGAGACAAACAACCATTCACTCTCTCACTCACCTAGGGACAATTTAGAGTCACCAAATAGTCTAACATGCATGAATTTGGTTTGTGGGAGGAAACCGGAGTACCTGGAGAAAACCCACGCATGCACGGAGAGAACATGCAAACTCCACCCAGAAAGGCCCCTGGACCGAGGTTTGAACCAGGGACCTGCTCGCTGAGAGGCAGCAGCTCCATCCATCCATCCATTTTCTTCCGCTTATCCGGGGTCGGGTCACGGGGGCAGCAGCCTAAGTAGGGAGGCCCAGACTTCCCTCTCCCCAGCCACTTGGGCCAGCTCTTCCGGGGGAATCCCGAGGCGTTCCCAGGCCAGCCGAGAAACATAGTCCCTCCAGCGTGTCCTGGGTCTTCCTCTGGGCCTCCTTCCGGTGGGACGTGTCCGGAACACCTCACCAGGGAGGCGTCCAGAAGGCATCCTAAACAGATGCCCAAGCCACCTCAACTGGCTCCTCTCGA